ATTACATTTTTAATTTAATAGATCATTTATAAATTTAGTTTTGAGAAGTTTTACGTAGGCCCTGAATAATGCAGGTCTGGAACCAGTTGCAGATAAGCAGATAAGCATAAACAATTGCTTTGTTATAATATCTGACTCAGAGCCACACCATTAGACTCTTGGATGGATTTTGATTATTAAATAATTTTCATTTTTTCATGCATTCTTAAAGAATTAAGGTGGTTGTCAATGAAATAGTTGCTCTCAATAGATATATGTGCAAACATCTATATTCATCTATTAAGAGCTAAGGTTACATAGATAAAGTCCTCTATAAATTGTTTAAATACTCTGTATTCCTTCTTATTAAATCCTCATCTAAAAATCCCTACTTGTTTCTCTTCTACCATAGAGTGGAAATTAATATTCCAGGCTTAGTTTAAATTGAAGAGCAAGAGATGATGATCTTATAAAATTTTTGAATCATGTTTTTCTGTATCACTTCATAGCAGTGAAATAAAGCAAAAATACCTGGATTTAGAATTCCAGATATATTTGATTATTAAAAATCATTTGATGATCATGAGTATTATATTAGTTATCTCTTGCAACATAACAAATTACCCTAAGCTTAGTGATTTTGGACAACAGACATTTATTATCTCACAGTTTCTGTGGTTCAGGAATTCTGCAGTGGCTTAGCTGGCTGGGTGGTTCTGGCCCAGATTACCTGCAGGGGGTGCAGCACTCAGGATATGAGAGAGATGTTTGACTCAGGCCTGAGTGTCCACTCCCCAGAGGGCTCACACACATGGTTCTTGGCAGGAGGCCTCAGTTAGCGTCCTTGTCACGTGGCAGAGAGTGAGCAAGGAGGAGCAATAGCGCCTTTGTATGACCAAGTCTGCAGAGACGTACACCGTCACTTGATAGTACTCTGTTCTTTAGAGGCTGGGCATCGAGTCCAGCCCAAACTCAAGAGCAGGGGAATTAGGCTCCACCTCTTGAAGAAAGGAGTATCAAAGAATTTGTGGAGATGTTTTGAAACCAGCAGAAGTACTAAATATATTTTGAAGCTTTATTCTCTGTCCTTAAAACTGACCAGATGATAAAAGAGGAACTCCACTCATTAATTAAAATAATATTTAAAAATTATTATTTCTCAACCTGGTACTAAAAAATAATATGAACTACCAGAGGCAACATAGGCTGGGTTTAAAAAAGGTGGCGAGTTGGTGTGTATGCTTTGCCAGGTTGGCATGAGTCACAGGGAAAAGAGGAAGTAGAGAATTAAAAGAGGAAGATGGAGGAGGAAAAGAGGAAGATGTCTGCTTCTTTGGGCTGTGGCAAATGATTGAGGCGTTAAAAGGCTTCTAAAATGTTAGGTCATAAATGCTAGTCTACATGAGACCACTGTTTCCATGTAATTTCAATACTTTGCTTTGAAAGTATTGAAACAGTCACTGGTATATCTCTTTCTGCACTGTTGTTTTCTGCCTCTGTCCTGGATCAGGAGCGGAGGGAATGTGTTTAGCACTTTGGCACTGTGTTTGCTTGAATGTAAACTGGAAGGAGGGAGTGTCCTGGAGATAAGTCCGTGCAGGCAGAGAGGCAAGATCACGAAGAGCCTTCTAAAGCCATGGAAAGGAGGTGCTGAATTTTTCTTTAAGCCGGGAAACATTTGCTATATTTAAAGATCTGTAGGGCCACAGCATTAAGGATGAACAGTTCTCTTTGTTTAACATCTAACCCAGAGCCACATAATTTGACACTTGATAGATTTTGATAATTAAATAATTTCCATATTTGTTCATACACGGAGAAAGTACTGTGTCTCGAAGCGGGGAAGTTGGTAAGGAAGCTTTTGCAGTAATCCAGACTACAAGTGGACACAGGCTGAGGCGGAGGGAACAAGAAGAGTGGATTTGTTAACACTTCTGTTTGGGAGGTTGAGGGATTGATTTGATGGAAGGTTAAGTAGAAGGAAGAATCTAGAATACTTCCTAGGTTTTTTAGATAGGATGCAACGGGGAAAGTTGTGATAGTCCCTAAAATAAAACATGCAACAGAGAGAATTGGTTTGTGGGGATGACAACAGTTAGGTCCTTTTTGGGATATGTTGTACTGTCTACTGCTTTCTCCGCTCTCCTCATGTCTCAGCGCTGCCTCCCCAGCCCACCTTCAGCTGATGGCCTGCTTACTATTTCAGCAAAAAAATTCTCAATTAGAAGAATCTTCCCACAAGAGGACTTCGCCAGTCTCTTCCCCTGCTCCTGCACCTGAGTCCATATGCTTCTGTTTCCCTTCTACTTTAACCGTCTCTGAAATAGCAAAGGTCAGTCTCACACGTGTACACTAGGTCTCATCCTGTTTTTTCTGCTCAAAGACACGGCTCAGCAGGTCTTCCCTCTATGTGCAGAATCACCAAAATTCCCCTCTCTACCAAATTAGTTTATCACTCTACAAATATGCTGTTATTTCTCCCATCTTAAAAACAAAAATAAACACCCATTGGCCTACACATCTCCTTTCAGAAAACACCCATGTCTCTGATCACCATCAGAGCAAAACTCTTTGAAAGAGATGTCCACGCTCGCCATTTCCATTTCCTTCCATCCTTGCTTGAACACACTCCACCCAAGCCTTTACCCTCCCCATTCTATGGAAGCTCTTGGCAAGGTCCCCTGGCTTCTGTAGGGCAAGAGCTGGTGATCATTTCTCAGTTCTCAGCTTACCCGGCCTGTCAGTAGCATGTGACATTCTTAGTGGTCACTCATTGTTTTCACTTGCTTTCCAGGACCTCAGACCCCCCAGTTTTCCTCTTGTCTCTTTGAGCATCTCTCTCTCTCCTTAGCTGGTGTCTGCTCATCACAATGCTGCTAAATGGCTCAGCCCTGGACCCTCTTCTCTGCTCTGACGACACTCACTCCTTCTGTGACTTTATTTACTCTCATGGCTTTAAATACCGTATATGTGCTGACCAAACTTATATGGCAGCTGTGCTGTTTCGTCAGTTTAAACTCATATTTCAACTGCTTACTTGACTGCTGTACCTACATATGTCTCACAGGCACTTAACATCTAAAACCCAACTCCTGGTCTTCCTTTCCATCAAAGCTGCTCCATACTTGTCCCCATGCAGTGAACAATTTGGCTATCACTCTAGTTATTCAGGCTGAATTCCCTGAAGCCATCTCTGCCTTCTTTCCCTCACAGCAGATGCCTGGTTAATTAGCAAACACTATTGCCTGTCCCTTCCATCACTCGTCTCCACCTGCGCTTCTAACCCCCTGCGCTTCTAACCCCCGGCTCAAGCCATCAATATGTAGCACCTGAATTATTACAGTAGCCCCCTGACTAGTATCCCTGCCTCAAGCCTTTAACTCCCTATGGTCTAGTCTCAACACAAATTTTATAAAATTTGTTAGATCTCATCACTCGCCTGTTCAAAAATCTCCAGTGTATTTCCACCTCACTCTATAAGAATAGTCCCACATGATCTGGCTACGATGCCCCTCTGATCTCTTCTCCTGTTATCTCTCCCCCCTCCCCCCAATCCTCTCCGGTACAGTGGCAGTCTTGCTGTTTCTCAATAAATCAGGTAAGCTCCAGCCCCAGGGCCTTTGCACTTGCTGTTCCCTCTGTCTGGAAGTCTCTTCCCTAGTTATTCACATGGCTCACTCTCTCATCTCCTTCAGGTTTTTACTCCAGTGACATCTCCATAAGACTTTGGCCATCCTTATTAAATATCAACCATTACTTCCATCCCTGCTCTGTTTTCTCCATAATGCTTAAGCATTCAATCACCATTTCACATACTACACATTAAACCTACTGGTTTATTTCTGTTTTCCCTCACTAGCCTGAAAGCCCCATGCGAGCAAGGTGAGATGAGAATGCTTCACAGAGGAGGCGACATTTAAGCTGCATTTGTAGTATGCAATAACCTAGTTTACTTGAGAACTTATAGTATGATTCTTTTTCAGAAGTGTTTTTTTACCATCTTAAAGCATGATAACCAAAATAGACTGGCAAATTAAGGGATCTCAAGCAGAGATTTAAATAAAGGCTATGTGGTAAATAGCAGTAGGGCTAGGATCTTCCCGCTGATCTGGAGAGATCAATAGTAACTTCTTTGTTGATATTATTATCCCCATTTTAGATGAGGAAATATGGACTTGGTCAAGTTAGGGAAATTTCCCAATGTTACATATCTTTTAGGTGTTGACAGAGCTGGAATTCAGACCCATGTCGTCTTATTCTAAGGCTGCATTTTTCTCACTATGAAATCATTATCTTCTTTCATTTTTATTAATGATTATACCTGAAAAGCTACCAACCAACTCTTTTTCTATTTTAGCTTTTGAAAATGCAAGTTATAGACTGGAATAATATAATAACAAAATCTAGAGTTGCAAACAATGATTCTACATACTATTAATTACTCTGTATATTAACTGGCACAGCCGTCTGGAGGAGGACAGTCTTTGTGCTGGTAACACCTACAACTAGGAGTTTTGCGAGTGAGACTGATGTCTGCATCTGAGCTTCCATATATGATTACCTTTTCAGGCTCATCTTCCATTTGGAGGAAAAAACACTTAAGAGAGAAAATTGTGTTTTAACTCTGATAACATAATAGACTATATTCTCTATGTGAAGAATTTGTTGAATGTAAATAAAATGATGAATATACACACACATGGTTTTCTCCTGGATCTGTTAAGCTAAATGAAATGGATATCTAGCTTCTCACGGCTGTGATGCAGTTAGCTGGACCAGTAGAGGCAAGAGCAGGGATCTGAACACTCAGTTCAGCTCTAATTAGGAAGGTATTCTCTCAGCCCCTTTGATACCAACTTTAATTGATAAATGAGATTCAGCCTTTCAGTGTTTTGATGCACAAAACTTGCTTTTTGCCACTTTTGCTGTGTTATCTCTCTTCTGTTTGTGTTAGGTGCACATTATGGGCACACCCCTTTCCCCTGTAATTATCAGGAAGCTTGATTAGCACAACATCTTACCAGGCTGTAGAGACGTGGACCTGTTATAAGTGCAGGCAGTGCTGGAACAAGCCTGATCCTGGTTTAATAGAATCCAAATCCAACAACACTGTCCAGAGTAAGCCTGTGCTTTGCAGGCCAGCACCTGGCAGAATGCAGGATACCACCCTGAAAATAAATCTTAGTTACTAAATAGCTCCAAGGCTCTGAAGTCATTTTTGGCAATGTCACGTAAAAGGTGGGCACAAACAGTGGTAGAATTATCCTGATACAAAGTGCAGTTTGTACAATATATATTGAGTATACAATTTTGTTGTTGTTATTTTGGACTTATTCCCAATTAGGCAGAGACACAGTTTGAAAGAAAGAGCTCCAACTCTGTAGCAAAAATGACTTGAGTGCTGGCTTCAGATCAGTGATTCTTGAAGCAAGCTTCTTCACCTCTCTGTGCTGTAGGTCACTCATCTGTGAAGTTTTAACATGAAGTACAAACACTTAGGCGGGCTTGGAAAGTCCTAGGGAGACAAGGAATGTGACAGTGCCCACGGCAGAGCTCTTCAGCTAGTGAAGATTCAGAAAAGGTCCCTTTCCTCCCTTCAGAGTGTTGCAAGGCCAGACAAATGGAGGCATGGAAAGTTAAGTAACAACAGTTAAACACTGAACGTGGGAAAGACAGCAGGTTCTTTTCTGCTATGTGACCTTTGTGTCTCTGGCAGTTTTTAAAGGGCATGGAAGGAGACTCTGCTCACAGTAGCTATGTGCTGCTCTGTCTCAGACCTGAATCTCCGTATCCCAAGGGACATAAAGGTCTAATAAGGTAAAAGGTCCCTGTGGTTCTAGATCTGAGACCTTTGCCTCATTGCTTAAAAGCTAGTGTGGCAGAGAGATTAGTATTTGGCAGGGAAGAGGAATTTTTTTGTGCAAAGGGATAAGAATAAACACCAGGATCAAGAATTATGCCCAGCATCCCCTTGTCTGGAAGGAATCCAGGCGCAGGTTGGCACCACTCCCACTGGATGTTCCTGGGGCAGGACAGCTACCAACCCCCAGAGGCTGGATTTGTCTTGGTTCTTCTGGGGAACAGAGCAAATGGTCAGGGCCTCAGCCTGCTCTACCAGGACAGCCGGGAACTGGGCACGCGGACCACCACTTTCATATGCTGTCAGCGATTGCAAATTTACTTTTAAAACTTTTAAATACTTTTTGAAAACTGAGTCAAATTTTACATACAGTAAGACACACAGATCTTAATGTACAATTTGATGAGTTTCGACAAATGTATATACATGTGTGTAACTAACACCCCACTCAAGATATAACTTTTCATCACCCCAGTCGGTCCCCACCACCCATGGGCAACACTGTTCTGATTTCTGTCACCACAGGTTAATTCTGCTTTTTCTTGAAGAATCTACTTATTTTTGAAACTGCATTATTATCTATTTTCCCCTGAAACATAGGACATTTTTATGTTGTATAAGTGGTTCTTGGCTATAAAAATGTGTCATAAGATTTATAATTGAAGTCAAAGAAAACAGAACTTTTAGCAGCTATCTTCAGATCTGTTTTTGTTTCTTAAAGTTATAATTTTGAAATTGTTTCATTCCCTTTGATGAAAATATGCATTAAGATAAGCCCATGTATGGGATTTGAAGACAGCCTTGGATGTACTAGAAAACCCTTGGTCTTCACAATTCCTTTAGTTTAAAGAATAGTGCCTAAGAACCTGTATTTTATACTACTGCTGGTTTCACTTTACCTGGGGAAGCAGTAGAAAGAATGTGGGCTTTGGCATCAGACCTGGAGAGCATGTGGGTCTGCACATTCTTGGACTACCTATTTAACTTTTCCGAACATCAGCTGCCTCTGTGATTAAATGGGAATAATAATATCTCCCTGAAAGGGTTGTGCCAGAGGTTAAACGGATTAACAGATACTAAGTGCCTGTCACATAGCAGGCCCTCCCTTCTCCTTTTTTTAAATGGCAAACTTTTTAGCATTATGAATTTTTCTTTTTTTGGCTGGGAATAGATTTATTAACTATATTAGAGACATTGGCCATTGATCATGTATTGCTGATGCCAGTTATCTTCAGGGCACTGCTGTTTATATCTTGCAACTTCCTAGAAGCTTCTCTTCACCTTGGCTGCCTCTTCCTAGTCACCCAAGCTGTGAGAGGAAACTACCAGCACCCACTACTTCTACATTCATACTTGTGTTGTCCCCAACCCTAGAATATCCAGAAACGTACTCTTGAGAGAGAGAGTAGGTATAGTGGTGCGTGTACATTACAGATGGGTAAAATGGATCACAACCAAATAAAGGCAGTCTTACCAGTCATTTAAAGAAATATCAAACCTCGATTCTCAAATTTATTAATAAAAGCCAAACAACCCAAACAAAAAAGTCAAAATTGGTAAAGGTACATGTAGACAACACAGAAGAGGAAAACCAAGATAGCAGATAAAAATTAAAAAGTGGTTCATTTGCTCTAGTAATCAAGAGAATGCAAATTAAAACAACAATAAGATACAGTTTTATACCTATCAGATTGACAAAGATTAAAAAGCCTGATAATACTAGGTGCTGATTAGGATATGAGGTTAGTAAGAACCCTTACATATCGCTGGGAAAGGTATAAATTTCTGTAATCCCTTTGAAGATTTCATCAAAGAAGCTCTTGCACATGTGCACAAGGAGACCTATATAGAGATGTTCCTTGTAGATGGTTCAGAATAGCAGAAAATTGCGATCAGTCCAAACATTTGGGGATGAAATGAATAAAATTTGTATAGAATACAATGGGACTGGGAAGGAGAAAGTCCAATTTAATTTAGTCTTAAGAAAGGAGAACATCACCAATATTAACACTTAGCTCTGTATCAGTGGTTCTCAAAATGGTTTTTGTCCCTAGACCAGTGGCACTTGGCATCACTTGAGAACTTTTAGTAAAACAAATTCTCAGGCCCCAACCCAGATCTACTGAATCTGAAACTCTGGGGGTGGGAACTCAGCAAGCTGTGTTTTAACAAGCCCCACACTACCACTGTTCTAGATGACAAAGACAGGGACTTTTATGACGATCTTATTCACTGCGATTTTCTATATTTTTAAAATTAAAAGTTGAAACTAACAATCTGAAGCTTTTCTTTCCCACTCTCCCAAAGTCCGTCTAGGCTGTGAATTTCAACTCCATAACCAAAGGCTTATTAAGAGCATAAGCTCATTACTGCCTCATAAAGTTCTCAGATGTGGACAGATCTCTTAGTATCAAGGAAAGGGTAGAAAAAAAAATTGGGCAGATATTATTGACTATTATTCAGATGTGTAGCGTCCAGTAAGTACATCACCCTAAAACTGATCCCTCTGACACTTCTCCTCTTATCATCAACAGCAAATATCTATCTAGCATTGAGTACCTTCAGAACAATGCAGAGTACTGATGCTCCTGTAAGGCATAAGGTATAAATCATGTCCCTAGAAAACAACCTAGTTGGAGAGTCAGGATGTGAGTATAGAAGACGAGGTTAAAAATGAGAATACCCCACTGTAAGATGTAGGGCATACACAGTTGCTGCACAGAATTTCAGAGGAGTTTGAAGGGAAGCTTTTTGGAGACTCAGCCTCAGTAGAGAAAGTGGAAGTAATATTTCAAGGAATGATGTGAACAAAGGTCATTGTAGCATTCTAACTTAAATACCCATGTAAAAAGTGATCCTAGTTCAGGTTGAGGGTATGGAATCAGAGTCTTCACCTAGAGATAGATGGAACCATTAAAAAGTCTTGAGTAATGAGGTAATTTGTACATGCAAAGCAGTGTCCCAAGAATATAAATTTGGCATAAGTGTCAAAGATGGACTAAAGGCAAGAAAACAATTAGCAAGGAGATATCAGGGCCTTCAACAACGTGAAGATTTAGATGGTGAAACACAAGATACAATACTGGGTAAAGAAAAATGAAAAAGGAATGGAAAAATGTGAAAATAATTCTAATGGAAGGTATCAGTTTCTTATTGCTGCTGTAAAAAACTACCAGAAACTTAGTAGCTTAAAACAATGCAAATGTATTGTGTCATAGTTTTGGAGTTCAGAGTCCAAAATAGTTCTCACTGGGCTAAAATCACAGTGTCAGCAGGGATGTGTTCCTATGTGGAGTCTCTAAGAGGGGAAGAATCTGTTCTCTTGCCTTTTCCAGGTTCTACAAGCTGCCCACATCCCTTGGCTTGTGGCCCCTTCCTCCATCTTCAAAACCTGCAGCATAGGGTCTTCAAATCTCTGACTCTGACTCTTCTGCCTCCCGCTTTCCCTCATAAGGATTCTTGTGATTTCACTGGGCCCAGGCAGATGATTCAGGATAGTCTCCTCATCTCCAGATCCTTAACTATCACATCTGCAAAGTCGCTTTTGCCTTTAAGGTAACATGTTCACAGGTTCTGGGGATTAGGACGAGGATATCTTTGGGGGCCATTATTTTTCCTACCACATGGAATATGACCATGATTTGATGATTGCCTAGGGTTTGGAAGAGAGGTGGAAAAGCCTAGATTGGTCATGTCAGCCGTCTCGTTTTCAGTTTGCTCATCTGCAAAATAGGGGTGGAGAAGTGGGTAGGGGTGGGATTCCCTTCCAAGCCTAACACTGACTAGAATGTCAGCTCCCTGAGGCCAGGGATTTGTGTCTGTCTTGTTCACTACTGGTGTCTTCACTGTCTAGAACAGTAACTGATACATATTTATAGGCACTCAGTAATTATTTGTTGAATAGAATGTTTGTTGCCAAATGAATGACTGAGTCAAGGAAAAATTTGAAAAGAGCACAGGGGAGAATTCTCCACCGGCCCCTATCTACATTAAGTTCTTGTTTTCTTGGTGACGTAAGGTTTTTGGCTCAGGTTGTAGATGGTCTAGAATCCTGTCATTATGATGAGACATTCTGCTGGTGGGAGAGAGGGAGAGCTGAGATTTGTAGTCTGTTCTTTTTCTCACTTGCTTTTAGCCTCCATGCTGAGCATCCCCTGGAAGTAGGAATGGGGAAATACATTGGGACTGATGTATGGCCTCAGGAGGGGTCTGGGGCAGCTGCTGATAGAAGAAATTGCTCACTGTGGCAATGATCAGTTGCCCCTGAAACGACCAGCTGTCACATTCCATGCTGCTCACCCAGCGAGA